ATACAGGCGATACCCCTCCCTCCTCCACCCTCTCCCTTTTCGCTTCCCTTCAAATTAATTATTTGATTTTTAAATGCCAGGAGGTATTAAATATCCAGGTACTAATCCTTCCTTTATTTAGCCAGTATCAGGGGTAGACTTGCCCAAGAAAAACAGGTCTTTCCATAGAAATCTCTTTGAGGAATGTTTTCTAGATCCTTCAGAGTTCAGGGGGACAAACTTACAAACACCCCTGTAACGTTACCTGAAACAGCATTAAGTTCTGACTACTCAAATGTACGCACTGCTTTCCCCAAAGTCAGCATCCTCCTGATTGTGGCCAGGAGGTGCACTAACAGGCCAGCCGGCTTCCTCCTTGCTGGTTTCCTGCTTTGATTTTCCCAGAATGAAGTCTTAAGAAGGTGTGTGGAATCTAAAAGAACATAAAATCCCAAGGTCCATCGAACTGTCTTTCTATGCTTTCTGCTTAACTGTGTGTGATACAGAAATAATGCATTATACTATTTATGCTTTTTCCAAAGTAAGAAGCATCTAGATTCAAAAAACAAGTGGCTTGGTAATGTAACGCTTCAGACAGTTACTATAACCAACACTGCACACACACCCCCCCCTCCCTCTTTCTTCTTTCTCATGAGTCTCTGCTGGTGGGGACAAGGCTGTTTTATTTAAACACCATTCTCACTTGCCACAGGCTGCCACAGAGGTGATGGCTCCGAGTGGACAGTTGATGTTGCTCCTGATTTCCTTGCGTATATGGAGCACACTCTGATGAGAACTACACCCGGGAATCTTAACACCACATGAAACCTGGTTAGTGCATTTTGCTTTCATAGACTTTTGGCATCTCATTTGACCGTCACAACAAACATGTGAGGTGACAGGAGGAATCACCCCCACTTTTCAGAAGGACAACAGTCTCCAAGAAGTTTAGGAATCAAGGTAGAACACTTAGGAAACAGCATTAGTGGGCTCCTTCCATTCCAGAAAGCCCTATAAAGCAGCAATCACTAAAAACATTCAAACTTTTTCACTGCAAATATAATTTACAATGAAAGGTAAAGAATTCATCAAACTATCTGCCATAAATAATTGCAAGTGGGAAAATACATTCGCTTTAACATTTAACATTTGTCCTGTGTTTGAAGGTCATTTCTAAGGTCATCCAAAGACAATTATCCCTAGGGATACCTGCATTTCCTAAGCTTTTTATAAATACTCTCTCCCAAGCATTATGGGCCTTCTAAAACAACGATTTGGTTAGTAAGAGTAAGGGGGGAAAACTGTATACAGCTAAAGGCTTTATAAAATCCTGTGCTCATTTAAACTTCAAAGTGGATTATGAGCACAACAGAAATAAAGAATCTCTTTTTTTTCTTTTCTTTTTGTTCTTTGTTCTTTGAGTCAGGGTCTTGCTATGTACCCCAGGCTATCCTGGAGAACTTGTGGCAATCCTCCTGCCTCAGCCTCCTGAGTGCTGAGATCACAGGTAAATAGAAATAAGGAATCTGCAAATGGCCTTTAAAAGCACACATGCTCAAGGCTGGCACACCCATAACACCCACTGTACACAGTCCCTCGGGCAAACTGAAGGGACACAGAAATGAGACTGAGAGCTGTCCCTGGCTAGCCAATCAAAGTTTTTATTGGCACTAAAAGAGAGGCATGACTCACAACTCAGACGTTTCTAGCAAGAGTGCAACCTAAGTTATTAAACTGTGAAAAAGTAACAGAATGATTGCGTGGGCAAACACCCACCCTGGAGTGGGAATGATACTGAAGACCATCAGTGTTCGGAAAGAATAGCCCACAGATTTACAAAGCATGACACCAAGACCCCAGAATTTGCTATAAACAGGGGCTGGGGAAGAGCGGGAGATGGGCTGTGTTGATGGGCTGCTGCTGGCCCAGAGAAGCGGCCAGAGCAGACTCACGCACCCTCAGAAGGGAAGGCTGCGTCCCTGCTGAGGGTCATGGAGCACCATGACCCACCCACAGGGCCCCCGCCCACCCTGGGCAACAGGAGAACCAGGAAGAAAGAGGGGGCTGCAGTTCTCCTACTGAGGATCAGCTCCTGACGGTTAGGAAGAGCAGACCACGGGCTGCAGTGATGAACCCTGCAGGCTGGGATCCCCAGAATGGGTTGAGGGCTGAACGCTGAGGGCAAACGGGTCACAATACCCACTCATGGATCCACTGTCCTGTGAGGAGGAGAATTAGCATAAGAACCAGAACCAGGTTGTCACTTGTCAGGGCTGCGGGCTGGACGGTGCTGAGAATCCTAGGGAGAAGCCCTTGGAAGGGGAGAGAGAGGCAGCCAGGGCAGCACCTGTCCTGGGACTGAGGCGGACCCTCCCTTTGTTCTTCCTCCTTGCCCTTCCTCCCTATCTCCCCTCCCGCTTTCTCTTCTTCCTCTCCCTTGCCTTGTCCCCCACACATGCACTCTGACCATCTTCCCTGCAGTAAGAAACTAAGAACTGTCTCCCATCTGGCTCTTCCTTGTCTGCTCTTTCACACAGTGGCTCCGTGTCCTCTTAACTTCATCATTCAACATGGCTCCTTCACGCTGTGGTCTCAAAGACAGCTGAACTAGAAGGCCTGAAGTGCAGAAACTCTGGAAACCTGTTTCGGGGAAAACCCAGACAGTTTTCAGACTTCCTCCCCACACGCAGTTTCGGAACGGTAGCCCAGGGCAGCCCCAGCCTGTGAGCCAGGGCCAGGACCCCGGGGCAGCCTCGCTCGCTCGGCTTCTTTGCCTCCTTCCCACAAGCAAGCCCAGGACTCGCCTTGCCTGGGGTTCCCTTAGCTTCCCAAAGAATGCACTAGAGGTCCTCTTCCTGCTCTCTTTCCTTTATTTTCCATTTTTTTTTTTTTTTTAACAAACTCAGTCAAAATTGAGGACAAATCTAACCTCTGCCTGTTCCTATGAGGGTCTCAAGAAAGATAGGAACTTTTGAGCCCTCGCTTTGGTCATTGATAACAGAAAAGAAAATGTCCAATGTATGGGTTAGGAAAATTAAAATAGAAATGAGGAAAAAGATGAGGGTGGGGAAAGGGGAGGTGGGCAATGAGGGGTGAAGTAAGTCAAAGTATGTCACACATATGTACCAATGGCCAAGGGAACCCACTACGCTGGACAACGAATATGCACTAATAATTTGTTTTTTAAAATCAGAACATTTGCAACTGAATGCCCAAACCACAAAAGAGTTCAGCAAACATTAATTTTAAAAAATGTATTCATGCATTAACATAGTAATATAACTGTAACAGTAAACTTTTGAGATTTCACTTCAGATCACACAGGTATGAAAAGTTATGACCAAGATGCTTCTAGAGATTTTACATTATTACATATTTTTACATTATTCATTATAGCAACACATACATACATGGGATAAAATGTGAATGGAATGAAAGAATAAATAAATTAACGATTCCTTTTTATGCTTCAATTATATAGCCCAAATGTAAATCTCTTAAGTCCTGTTTTTTTAATGACTATTATAATTTCTAGGTTAACACAAAGATTTAAGATTCACTTGTACTACTTCATGGTGTTTTCTTAATTAAGAAGCCTTAAAGGCAAATAATCTAGAAAGGGCTTCTCTTCAGTTTAAAGTGTAAACAGACAGATGTTCTACGGATTTCCGGCTGGCAAACACAGCCTCAGAACAATGGTGCTGCCCGAGGTGCTGGGCAGAGCCTCCATGCTCCCGAAAGGGTGTGCAAACCTACAGCAAAACTGAGAAATGTCAGGTGAAGGCAATGAGCGGTCAGAGGTGACTTGCCTGTCCCCTGAGCTCTTCAGAGCACATATCTGACAGAAGGGAGAAAACATGAGAGGAAAATGGGTTGACTTTTTCATGGTCTTTGGTCTAACCATTGCAAGATGTTTCCAAATAATAAATTCCTGTAATAAAACCACACACACACACACACATACACACAGAAAAGAGGGGCCTCTAACTCCTACTCAGTCCCCTCCCGGTGACCCCATCAGCGAGCAGAGGAAGAGAGGAAGAGATGGAAAGGAAGACTCACTAGTGCTACCTGCAGAACTTTCAAAGCGCAAATGGAAGGGAGGGAGAAAGAGGAAGAAGGAAGGGAAGGAGGAAGCGGGAAGGGAGCAAGGAGGGAAAGAAATGAGAGAGGCAAAGATTTTACCTATGCATAACTGAAACTTGGTGCTCAAAATTTATCTACTCCAAATAGCCTGAATAAACATAAAATAAACTTGACTTTGTTAAACTGCCTAAACATCACAGATAGTGGTTTGCTTTAACACAGCGTCCTCTAGAAGTCCACGGTTCCTGTGGCCTGCAGAGCTCTGCAGCTGCTCATACACGGGTGGGAGGTGGAGCCAGCTGCCTCCTAACACCTAGGGGACACCAGCACACCCGGGGAGAGAGATGGCAAGGTGGTCATCTACGAAGGGCCCTTTGTGCTTCCTCTGCTTTCCATAACTTACGACACACTCTGAACAGGTCTTTGAGCTCTGAACAGGTGCTCAAAGATGATGAAGCTACATTTCTAATGAGAAAATAGGCTCAGAAAGGAAGAGCACCTTTGCAAAGCACATCCTGGTAAGAGCAGCAGCTGTGATTTGAACCCAGTTGTCTGCTCACCAGGAAAGCACTGAAGAGCGGAGCCCAACAATGAAGGCAGAGATCACAAAGCACTGTGTGAAGAGCAATCTTGTGGTTTTCCAGTTGCAGCCGGCATTCCCTGCACCCACTGCTCCTGCCAGCATTCCTGCCTCAGTCTCCAAGAAACACAGCTCAGAGTGGTGCCCACCAAGGACGCTGGCATCCTAAGCTGCCCAGTTCCAAATTCCACCTTTTATTTTCTCCATACTTGGGACTGAACCCAGGACCCTCACACTGAACTGTGTTCCCAGCCCTTCACATTCTTGATTTACAAAACAGGCCTGTGGGGCTGGCCTGGGAACCTGGGTACAATTTTACAACCTGACGTCTTCACAAAGTGGGTCCTGTCCACGTATGACGAAGGCAAACCAGGACAATGTATGCAGTGTTGCCAGAGCAGGACGTCGCCTCAGCCTCTTAGATTCCTCACATTTCTGTGGGGAAGCCTCTCCCTGCTTTTCTCTTGCCTATTTTGTTTTTCCACTTCCAACTATGATTTATTACAGACTTTCTCAATGATTTATAAGTTTTTAATAAATTTTCATGGTATTGGTAAAAGACATTGGTTTTATCTTGACTTTTATTTCATGGCACTGGGAACTGAACCTAGGCCCTTCACACTGAGGTGCACTCCAGCCCTTTTTTGAGACAGGGTCTTGGTACATTGCTCAATTGCCTATAACAGACTTAACTTGCAATCCTCCTGCCTCAGCCTCCCAGAGTGCTGGGATTACAGCCGTGCATCACCATGCCCAGTTTAGCGTAAGATTTTTAAAAAACTGCTTCATGTACACTTCTGACAAGTTTGCTCTGTACAGGTAAGAATACGCTGAAGTGTATTCTTCAGTACTTTCCAACAAGAGCCCCAAAATGGAGCGATAAGGAAAGGAAAGTTTCATGGTTTTGTAATTTCGAGGCTCCGTGTGTTTGCCTCCTAGGACAAGGGGACTTCAGACACAGATTCGGATGCAGAAATGAAGACTGCACCTCGGCCTCCATGGGTGAACTCTGGCAACCCTGTGTTCCGCATGCTGTACCCCAAGACGCTGTGCACAGCCACCTCTGCTTGCAGCCCCCTGATGATCAGGAACAGGACCAGCAGCAGCCACCCCGGGACACCGCCCCAAGACTGCAATTCCTGCCCTGCAATTCCACCCCAAAGGAGCAGGTGTTTTCAAGCCATATCAGAGCCACGGGACTTTACCAGAACAACAGTCTCAATACTGTGCCTGACAGAACCAGAACCCTTTATTTTCCCAACTTGCAACACACTCTATGAAAATGTACCCAGGAAAACAAGTTGCAAATCTAAGGCTAGAATACCTAGATTAAAAACACAAAGATTTGAATAAATCTTAAGAAATAAAGAAATTTTCATATGGTAACAGTGACAGTGACTTCTTTTTTCTTTTTAGATAGGGACTCACTGTGTACACCAGGCTAGCCTAGAACTCTCAGTCCTCCTGCCTCGGCCTCTCTGATCGCCTGGGTTACATAGTACAGGGTCTCCTTGAGTCTGCCAGTCACTTGTGCTGGGCTCAAACTTGTGACCCTTCTGTCTCAGCCTCCCAGTGAGGCTCTACCTAAATGTGCTGCCTTTGCCTTTCTTCCAGGGCTGGGAACCGAGCTCAGGGCCTCAGGCATGCTAGGCAGGCTCTACACCACTGAGCTATACCACAGCCCTTTTTATATATTTTGTTTAGAGATGGCATCTTGCTAAGTGGCTCTGGCTGGGTGGCTGGGTTTGAACTTGCGGCCTTCCTGAGAGCTGGCCATCTGCACTTTTTTTTTGAGAAGGGCTCACTAAGTAGCCTAGGCTGGCCTCAAACTCACAGCAGTCATCCTGCCTCTGCCTCCCGAGAGCTGGGGTCACAGCATGGGCCCGCTATACTTTATTCTTTCTGCTTCCTTTGGCCTTTCTGATGTAGAAGCCACCCACCCCGCTCAGCTCACATAGACTCACTCTGCCTCCTATAGTGATAGTTGTAAACTGCCCATCAAGACTATGCATTAAATGAGCTTAGTTTTGTTTTTTGAAAACAGCCGAAGTTTTTGTTTTGTTTTGACAACAAAGTTGAGGATAAGGTTTTCTTAGTTCTGTAGTTGTTTTTGCAGGCTCTCCTGGTCTAGCCTTACCAGCAGGTGGGAGCAAGGCAGTAAAGAAACACCAGGTGCTGAGTGTGTGGGAAGGAGCCTGGGCTGTGGATATTTATCACAGAAGGCACCATGGTGGTCTTAACAGAGACAAACCCCTCCACCAACATAAGCACTCACTGGAAGATTACACATTGTTAAATAATACTCAGTAAGTGTCCCATCTCTTGCCTACTTTTTGAGATCGGCTTACACACACATGCAGATGTCAAAAATTACCTCAGATCTTATACAAACTATACATGTTTGAGCTTTCCGATTCTTTGTAGAGCAAGACAAAATTCCCCTGACTAAGTTCTGGGATAAAGTTCTCCTGAAGTTGATAGTAACAGGCAGGAGGTAGGAATTCAGAGACGAAGCAAGCAAAATCTGCTTCTGGCTGATCATGTTTCTTGCTAGCAGTGCTTGTTTATCATTCGAGTTTTAGAGCCAAGGTCATATACAGCTACAGACTACTACCAACTCAGGCACACAGAAGTTATTATAACTTTAAGCTCCATTAAGAGCTAAGACAGATTTCGACTGCTTTTATATATATGGAAAAAGCATTAATTGCTAAATTCACCTCCTAACAAACTTTGATAATACTAAAAATTGTCAAGATGAAAGCTGTTACCCGTGTGTGTTAACCAGCTAGGTCTTGAAGAACACTTCGTTGTCACCTCTGTCTCCTCACTGGGAGACTCCTGTTACCAAATGAATAGTTTCCTAACTCAGTGACACTCCCACACTGTCTAGCGCTCTAGATCAGGTGGAATGATTTGATACAGACCTCATCAGACTGCAGTTACGCGTCATCCACATCCATTTTCAACTCTCCTAACTTTATTCATCCAGGTCTGATCACGAGGTTAAAAACGGCTCAGCAGCAGAAACTTGCCTTTCCTTTCTTCTTTCTTTCACATCTCTGTAAAGTCAGCACCCTAAGTACTCAAACATATCCTAACTCAAACTGCCTATTGAGGAGATTGTACTTTTGATTTTGTGTAATGAAAGATTGCCTCCATCTCCGGTGGCATCTGTAACACCAAGCCCCCTGTTCGAGTTCTAGTGAAGCTCCGAAGTCCTCCTGAAATCCATTCGAGATGCTCCTGTGAGGTTTTAGTGTTCTCATGTTTATGCAGGTTGCGCCCATAGCTTTTTTTCAGATTCTCAAGGGAGGAGGGGTCATAAGAAAAAAAATAAGATTCACACACAACACTGTAATCAGTCTTGTAAAGAATGCTAAATAAGTGTAAACTCAAATAGATTCTCACTTATCAGCTGGGGACCTAGAGCAGGCCACTCAGTCTCTCTAGAGCCTTGCTTTCCTTTTCTGTAAAATGGGGATAACGACAGCACCTGCCCTTGAAATGAAAGATAAAGTAATCTGCACCAATATTCACTAGTGTGAACTATACAAGTTGAACAAAATATACTATAAAATATTAAGTAAAAAAGAGACAAATTACATCTCCTGGGGGAAGGTGAGGCTCAAGGGAGCAACTATTATTTGGGGAGCATTTGCTTCTTCCAAAGCCGGCTGCTAAATGCATGAGAGCCTGCGAGTTCTTTTATCAGAACCATGCACTGGACTGATGAGAAAAAGAGTGAGCACCACCAAAACAGCGGGAAGATAAGGAGGACTTCTTTCTCTGGATGTTCCAGGAATACAAGCTAACAAGTGTCAATCTGAGTAGGTAAAACCACCCAGAGGTCAGAGTTCGGTTTTGAAATGTATCAATACTGAAACCTAAAGTGATTTTATTTCCAATAAGAGAACAGTATCTCATATAAAACAATATTATCCTATGTTTAAGCTTACTTCTACAAAGTAAAAGGAACTACAAGGGCCAGTACATAATCAAAAATAACCAGGCATAAAGGGCAACCTAACACGGTAAAAACTACGAGAAACAACAGACAGCAGAATAGATGCTCAAGATATGGACTCAAGTTAATGAAGTTAACAGAAACTTTAAAAGAACTACACTTGCTAAAAAAAAAGGATAAAAAACAAGATTGAGTGTTACAAAAGTAAGAAATTATAGAAATGAACCAAATGGAAATTTTCAAACTGAAAAGTTAGTTAAGAATGGTTAGGGTTAAAAAGCAAGTAAATGCAACTGACAAAATGATACATTAGAATGCAGAGCAGAAGAAAATAACCCACATGTAAAAATCAACAGACACATGAGGTGTGTCAATATGTATGTAACTGGAGTGTCAAAGGAGAGATAAGTAGGTGGAAAGCAATATTTGAAGAGGGTGGATGAGAAGTTTACAAAACAAGACAGATTAAAGAAATCATACTATTCCTAAACAGAATTTTTAAAAATCCAAAAATGGTCAGGGCAAGAGGTGTACACTTACAAATCCAGCACTTGGGAGGCTGACACAGGAGGATCACCATCAGTTTAAGACCACCCTGGGCTGCATAGAAGATCTTGTTTCAAAAAAAAGAAAAATTCACAAATATCTTGGCCATAGTAAAATGACAGAAAACTAAAGTCAAAGAGAAAATCTTAAAAAGCAGTCAGAGAAAAAAAGATATCACCCAAAAAAGAATAATAATTTGGAGGGACAACTTACTTTTCAAAAGAATCTACGTAAATCAGAAGCCAATAGGACAGTATCTTAACCATGCTATCAACCATTCAGCACAAAAATATCATTCAAGAATGACCAGTGATGTTGAACATTTTTTCCATACGTTTGCTTGCCATTTCTACTTCTTTGTGTGAGAAATGTCTGTTCGTTTCAGATGCCCATTTTTGGACTGGATCTTTAAATTTGGAAGGTCTGATTTTTTTAAGTTCTTTATATATTTTAGATAGTAGACCTTTGTCTGAGAAACAGCTGGTAAAAATGTTTTCCCACATTGTGGGTTGTCTCTTCACACTGTTGGTGGTTTCTCTTGCTGTGCAGAAGCTTTTGGTTTTTTCTTTTTTGGTATGGGGGATCAAACTCTGGTCCTTGTGCTTGCCGAGCAGGTGGCGGACTCACTGAGCTAAATCCCCGGCCCCTGTGCAGAAGCTTTTTAATAAGAAGAGATCCCACTTGTTGACTGTTTGTGCTAGTTCACCGGGAACTGAGGTTTTGCTCATGAATTTTTTCCTACACCACTGTCTTCAAGAGTTCTACCTCACCTCTTTCTCAGCCGGTTTAGTGTTTCTGTTTTAATATTTAAATCTTTAATCCATTTTGATTTTAGTTCAGTGCATGGTGAGAGATAGAGGTCTACTTTTAATGAATGAAAGCACACTGAACACAACTGCAGGTAATACAGAAACTGAGAAAATTCACCAGGAGGCTCAACTCTCACTAAAGAAATAGTAAGTATTCCAGATAAGTAGTAGAGAAGCGATTCCAGATAAAGGTCAGGGTAGAAGAAGAAATACAACAAAAATGGTAAACATGGAATCCCAACTGAATGCAGACTTCTAAAAACAGTAGTAATTACATGTTCTTGGGTTGAAATATCTTAAGAATTAAGAGATGCTCTAACAAGAACATACAGTTGAAGGTGGAAGGTAAACAGAGTAAAAGTATGGCCCTTTCATTATCCAAGAAAAAAAATCAGAGTGGCTATTAAAAAGTGCAAGTACCAACTGACAATACTCTTTGATAAGACAAAAATGCTCTGTAATTTCCAGAGTAACCACTAAACTAATAGTGAAATGGATATAAAACTTCTAGCTAATAGTCTTTAACCAATGTACATTAAAAATAGAATCATTATGTCCCAGAAAAAGGCAATGGAAATACATTAAAAAATATAGGGTAAGTAGAAAAAAAGAGAAAGCAGATTTAAACTCAAGTTACTGATACACACTAACTAATATTTCTGTGAGGAGGCAAAGATTTTCAAAATGGATTAAAAAATAATTAAGTATGTTATTTATAAGATCCATCTAAAACATAGGTTATATAAAGATTGAAAGTAAACATATAAAATCACCATACAAACACTAACCCCTGTAATGCAAGAACGCAGGCCGTTGAGGCAGGAGGATCTCCACAAGTGTGAGGCCAGCCTGGGCTACATAATCAGTTTAAGCCTGAACTACATAATAAGATCCTGTCCCAAAAAACAAACAAACAAAAAACAACTAACCAAATAAATCTTTTGTTAACTGTAATAAT